GTGGAGTTTGGGGAAAATAGACCTTGACACTTGTGATCTGTAGTTGCTGGGATTTATAGTTCACCTACAATCAAAGAGCATTCAGAACTCCACCAATGATGGAATTGAACCAAACTACCTCTGGAGGTAGGTGAACTACAACTCCCAAACTCAAGGTCAATGCCCACCAAACCCTTCCAGTATTTTCTGTTGGTTGAGAACCACTGCTCTATAAGAAAGGAGTATTTTCCCTTGATCTGTCTCTCCTGGAAGTAATCAGGAGTCCCACTTTATCTTTTCGAAGAGGATGTGAATGCACACCAGATCCCATGGTTTGAACATTCAAAAAATACTTGCTTTTTAAAACCAGGAGGCGATTTTAGACCATTCTGCTAGGGTTGTTTGGTCGTTCTTTCTTTAATTTTCCTTTTTTCAATTATTGACACACTAACCTATCTCACAAGATCTCACAATGGCATACAAAGTGATATACATGTAAACAGTGGGATTCTGTAAGTTTTCCGGGCTGTCTGGCAATGTTCCAGCAGCATTCTCTTCTGACGTTTCACCTACATCTATGGCAAGCATCCTCAGAGGTTGTGAGGTTAAATGTAAACAGTGTGCAACAATTTTTTAAAAAGCAAACCAATAATTTAATTACAAAATAGTGACACACATGAACAAATTAAAAACAATGTGAAAACAATTGGGTTGTTGTGAGCTTTTTCGAGCTGCCTGGCCATGTTCCAGAAGCATTCTCTCCTGACCTTTCACCCACATCTATGGCAGGCATCCTCAGAGGTTGTGAGGTTAAATGTAAACAGTTTGCAACCATTTTTAAAAACAAACCAACAATTTGTATTGTCGACGGCTTTCATGGCTGGAATCACAAGGGTTGTTGTAGGGTTTTTGGGCTATATGGCCATGTTCTAGAAGCATTCTCTCCTGACCTTTCACCCACATCTATGGCAGGCATCCTCAGAGGTTGTGAGGTTAAATGTAAACAGTTTGAAACCATTTTTAAAAACAAACCAACAATTTGTATTGTCGACTGCTTTCATGGCTGGAATCACAAGGGTTGTTGCAGGTTTTTTGGGCTATATGGCCATGTTCTAGAAGCATTCCCTCCTGACCTTTCACCCACATCTATGGCAGGCATCCTCAGAGGTTGTGAGGTTAAATGTAAACAGTTTGAAACCATTTTTAAAAACAAACCAACAATTTGTATTGTCGACGGCTTTCATGGCTGGAATCACAAGGGTTGTTGTAGGTTTTTTGGGCTATATGGCCATGTTCTAGAAGCATTCTCTCCTGACATTTCACCTGGCAAGCATCCTCAGAGGAAGTGAGGTCTGTGGGAACTAGGAAAAAGGGTTTATATATCTGTGGAATGACCAATGACAAAGAACTCTTGTCTGCTGGAGCTAGGTGTGGATGTTTCAACTGACCACCTTGATTAGCATTTGATGGCCTGGGAGTGCCTGGGGCAATCTTTTGTTGAGAGGCACACAGATATATAACCCAATTTTCCTAGTTCCAACAGACCTCACTACCTCTGAGGATGCTTGCCATAGATGCAGGTGAAACGTCAGGAGAGAATGCTTCTAGAACATGGCCATAGAGCCCGAAAAAACCTACAACAACCCAGCGATTCCAGCCAGGAAAGCCTTCGACAAAACAAATTGTTGGTTTGTTGTTAAAAATGGTTGCAAACTGTTTACATTTAACCTCACAACCTCTGAGGATGCCTGCCATAGATGTAGGTGAAACGTCAGGAGAGAATGCTTCTGGAACATGGCCATACAGCCCGAAAAAACCTATAACAACCCAAACCAATAATTTAATTTAAAAAAACAATTCACACACACCAACAAATTAAAAACAGCTTAAAAGACGAAAACAATTATTGGGCTTTTTGGGAAGTCTATGCGGCCCCATAGGAGGTTCCTGAGGTTGAAATCCGACCCTCTGCCAATTGGAGTAGGTTGGGGCCCCCAGTCCACTACTTCATTCTGAGGATCTCAGGTAGAGAGGGACCTGCCCTTTCACCTTTTTTCTCTTGATTAGAGAAGGGGAATAACCTGCTGCTATGACCTTCAGTCTAAAGGGAGTCTAAACTGTAGCATAGACACAAGAACTGGGAATCCCTGGCCCTTGAGCACTCTAACTGGAGGTCAGCTGTGACCAGCAGTGCTGCAGAATTCGAAGAGGCACGAATGGAGGGCGAAAGAGAGAAACATGCCAAGGGGAAGGCACGTCAAGCCAACCCTGACCAGGACCGCCTCCCACCTGGAAACTGATGTCCTCACTGCAGGAGAACATGGGACCAAGAATAGGGTTCCACATCCACCTACAGACCTACCGCCAAGACACTACACCTGGAGGACCATCATCCTCAGGCTACGAGGGATTGCCTTACAACAACAAACAACAAAGGGAGAAATGGCCTTCTTTCCCTAATCTGTGAACCAGAAATGTACTGTGAACCAGGATTTTGGCCTGCATCAATAGGAGCATCGTGTCTAGATCTAGGGAAGTCCTGCTCCCCATGCTCTATTCCACTTTGGTTAGACCACGTTACCTGGAATATTGTGTCCAATTCTGGGCACCACAATTCAAGAGAGATATTGACTCTAAGCTGGAATGTGTCCAGAGGAGGGCAACTAAAATGATCAACGGTCTGGAGAACAAGCCCTATGAGGAGCGGCTTAAGGAACTGGGCATGTTTAGCCTGAAGAAGAGAAGGCTGAGAGGAGACATGATAGCCATGTATAAATATGTGAGAGGAAGTCACAGGGAGGAGGAGGGAGCAAGCTTGTGTTCTGCTTCCCTGAAAACTAGGACGCAGTGGAACAATGGCTTCAAACTACAAGAAAGGAGATTCCATCTGAATATGAGGAAGAACTTCCTGACTGTGAGAGCCGTTCAGCAATGGAACTCTCCGCCCCGGAGTGTGGTGGAGGCTCCTTCTTTGGAAGCTTTTAAGCAGAGGCTGGATGGCCATCTTTCAGGGGTGCTTTGAATGCAATATTCCTGCTTCTTGGTAGAATGGGGTTGGACTAGATGGCCCAGGAGGTCTCTTCCAACTCTTTGATTCTATGATTCTATGATTTGAATGCAATATTTCTGCTTCTTGGCAGAATGGGGTTGGACTGGATGGCCCAGGAGGTCTCTTCCAACTCTTTGATTCTATGATTCTATGAACGCATCTCTCCCTATGAACCATCGCAGAGATTAAGATCCTCTGGGGAGGACCTGCTTTCCGTCCCGCCATTGTCACAGGCACGATTGGTGGGGACGAGAGACAGGGCCTTCTCGGTGATGGCTCCCTGGCTATGGAACTCCCTTCCTGGTGAGATCAGGTCGGCCCCGTCCCTCCTGTCCTTCAGAAGGAGGGTCAAAACTTGGCTGTGGGACCAAGCTTTCGGGACAGGGCAATAAAGCAACAATAGGAAAGATGACCAGGCCAATTAGATTTGACGTGGATGACCAGGACGGTTTTCAATGGTGTATTCTAACATTTTGATAAATGTTTTTAATGTTTATGTATGTATATAAGTATTTGTGTTCCGGCATTGAATGTTTGCCGTGTATATGCTGTGCTCTGCCCTGAGTCTCCTGAGTTGGGGTGAGAAGGGTGGAATATAAATGTTTTAAATCTATATATATATAAATGCTCTGGGCATCGTGAGTACCTTAAAAACAAAAGAACCAATGAACGAAATCACACCAAATTTGGCAACAAAACGTCTCACAACACAAGGAGTGACCAGCACTCAAAAAAAATTATGATTTTGTCATTTGGGAGTTGTAGTTGCTGGGATTTATAGTTCACCTATAATCAAAGATCATTCTGACCTCCACCAGCGATGGAATGGAACCAAACTTGGCACACAGAACTCCCTTGACCAACAGAAAACACTGGAAAGGTTTGGTGGGCATTGACCTTGAGTTTGGGAGTTGTAGTTCGCCTCCATCCAGAGAGCACTGTGGACTCAAACAAGTTTACATCTGGACCAAACTTTCCCTTATGCCAGAAAGGGGAGCATAGCATCAATAGGAGCATAGTGTCTAGATCTAGGGAAGTAATGCTACCCCTCTATTCTGTTTTGGTTAGACCACATCTGGAATATTGTGTCCAGTTCTGGGCACCACAATTCAAGAGAGATATTGACAAGCTGGAATGTGTCCAGAGGAGGGCGACTAAAATGATAAAAGGTCTGGAGAACAAGCCCTATGAGGAGCGGCTTAAGGAGCTGGGCATGTTTAGCCTGAAGAAGAGAAGGCTGAGAGGAGATATGATAGCCATGTATAATATGTGAGAGGAAGCCACAGGGAGGAGGGAGTAAGCTTGTTTTCTGTTTCCCTGGAGACTAGGACGCAATGGGACAATGGCTTCAAACTACAAGAAAGGAGATTCCATCTGAACATGAGGAAGAACTTCCTGACTGTGAGAGCCGTTCAGCAGTGGAACTCTCTGCCCCGGAGTGGTGGAGGCTCCTTCTTTGGAAGCTTTTAAACAGAGGCTGGATGGCCATCTGTCAGGGGTGCTTTGAATGCAATATTCCTGCTTCTTGGCAGAATGGGGTTGGACTGGATGGCCCAGGAGGTCTCTTCCAACTCTTTGATTCCAAGATTCTATGAGTGGTTCTCAACCTTCCGGATGCCGTGACCCCTTAATTCAATTCCTCATGTTGTGGTGACCCCCCAACCATAACATTATTTTTGCTGCTACTTCAGAACTGTACTACTGTTTTGCTACTGTTATGAATCGTGATGTAAATACCTGATATGCAGGATGTATTTTCATTCACTGGACCAAATTTGGCACAAATATCCAATACGCCCACATTTGAATACTAGTGGGGTTGGGGTGGATTGATTTTGTCATTTGGGAGTTGTAGTTACTTGGGTTTATAGTTCACCTTCAATCAATCTGAACTCCACCAGTGATGGAATTAAACCTAACTTGCCACACTGAACTCCCATGACCAAGAGAAAATACTGGAAAAGTTTGGTGAGAGGTGTTAAGCTGTGCCTGGTTGGTTCCTCTCTGCTGTTTTGCTGTTGTAATTTTAGAGTTTTTTAATACTGGGAGCCAGATTTTGTTCATTTTCATGGTCTCTTCCTTTCTGTTGAAATTGTCCACATGCTTGTGGATTTCAATGGCTTCTCTGTACTAATTGTACTAATTGCTGGGATTTATAGTTCAGCTAGAATCAAAGCGCTCTGAATCAGATCACCGATAGAAATGGGCCAGACGTCCCACACAGAATCCCCATAACCAACAGAAAATACTGGAGGGATTTTGGATGAGTTGACGGTGATTTAGGGGAGATATAGTTCACCTACATCTAGAGAGCACTGTGAACCCAAACGACTATGCCAAAGGGATTCTTAAGACTATCAGAAATATGTGTTTTCTAATGGTCTTTGGCGACCCCTCTGAAACTCTCTCGTGACCCCTCCAAGGTTGAGAAACACTGGACTAGATGGCCCCCGAGACCCCCTGCCCATTGGGGGATTCTCTGATTCTCATTTGCGAGGCCAAACCAAGACGAGGGTCCTTCCAATCAGATAGCTTCTGATCACCCTCTTTTTCAAAATGCAGTCACCCAAAGAACTTTACTCCTTGCTAGTGGACGCAAGGCAATCTGCCTGTTGACCGCATCCTTGTCTGCGGGCAGCGGGAGGGCTTGAGATCCCTCTCTGCCCATGCGCCAAGGCTAGTGGCCAGGAGTGCCTTTTTGGATGGGCTTCTGGATCTCATTCCACACTTGCTCGATCCTCTCCATCGAGATCCCATGGACAACCACAGAGTCCCGGTACACCTCGAGTTCATCCTTTGGGGGCCCCCACACACGGAAGTGCCCGTCGTGGTGGTACTGGAGTCCCGCCGCCAAGGCCAGGAACCCCAGGTAAACATCATCCAGCGGGAAGACCGGCAGCCGCAGCGATGCGCTGTAGAGTTCTGGGATGGCGGGCTGGGGCATGATGAACCCCCCGCCAGAGGCAAAGTTGGGGTACACCTTCAGCGGGTAGAAAGCCGTGGACACCGCATATTTTCCCTTTCTCACTACGGCTGAACGGTACTGAATGTTGCCATGGATGAATTCGGAAACGTTGGGCGTCCGGTGAAGGTAATCGGTGAGTGCATCGATGTTGACGAAGAGGTCGTCGTCCCCTGAAAGGCAACAGGGCGACGGTCACTTAGCAACTCTGCATTTGCAAACGGAGGTAATTAATTCACTCATAAATCATGATAAGCATTCCTTTGTTGCCCAGGGCACCAGGCACCACCCAGTCCTTTCTTCTAGTTTTGGAAGAACTCCTGCCCAAAACAACTGGTGTCTTCCTAATCCCTAAGACCACCTAGCACTCTCCAGGAAGTTCTTCCTAATCTCCAAGACCACCTAGCACTCTCCAGGAAGTTCTTCCTAATCTCCAAGACCACCTAGCACTCTCCAGGAGGTTCTTCCTAATCTCCAAGACCACCTAGCACTCTCCAAGAAGTTCTTCCTAATCTCCAAGACCACCTAGCACTCTCCAGGAGGTTCTTCCTAATCTCCAAGACCACCTAGTACTCTCCAGGAAGTACTTCCTAATCTCCAAGACCACCTAGCACTCTCCAGAAAGCTCTTCCTAATCTCCAAGACCACCTAGCACTCTCCAGGAAGTCCTTCCTAATCTCCAAGGCCACCTAGCACTCTCCAGGAAGTCCTTCCTAATCTTCAAGACCACCTAGCACTCTCCAGGAAGTTCTTCCTAATCTCCAAGACCACCTAGCGCTCTCCAGGAAGTTCTTCCTAATCTCCAAGACCACCTAGCACTCTCCAGAAAGCTCTTCCTAATCTCCAAGACCACCTAGCACTCTCCAAGAAGTTCTTCCTAATCTCCAAGACCACCTAGCACTCTCCAGGAAGTCCTTCCTAATCTCCAAGACCACCTAGCACTCTCCAGGAAGTCCTTCCTAATCTTCAAGACCACCTAGCACTCTCCAGGAAGTTCTTCCTAATCTCCAAGACCACCTAGCGCTCTCCAGGAAGTTCTTCCTAATCTCCAAGACCACCTAGCACTCTCCAGAAAGCTCTTCCTAATCTCCAAGACCACCTAGCACTCTCCAAGAAGTTCTTCCTAATCTCCAAGACCACCTAGCGCTCTCCAGGAAGTTCTTCCTTATCTCCAAGACCACCTAGCACTCTCCAGGAAGTTCCTCCTAATCTCCAAGACCACCTAGCACTCTCCAGGAGGTTCTTCCTAATCTCCAAGACCACCTAGCACTCTCCAGGAAGTTCTTCCTAATCTCCAAGACCACCTAGCACTCTCCAGGAAGTTCTTCCTAATCTCCAAGACCACCTAGCACTCTCCAGGAAGTTCTTCCTAATCTCCAAGACCACCTAGCACTCTTCCTAATCTCCAAGACCACCTAGCACTCTCCAGGAAGTTCTTCCTAATCTCCAAGACCACCTAGCACTCTCCAGGAAGTTCCTCCTAATCTCCAAGACCACCTAGAACTCTCCAGGAAGTTCCTAATCTCCAAGGCCACCTAGCACTCTCCAGGAAGTTCTTCCTAATCTCCAAGACCACCTAGCGCTCTCCAGGAAGTTCTTACTAATCTCCAACACCACCTAGCGCTCTCCAATAAGTTCTTCCTAATCTCCAAGACCACCTAGCACTCTCCAGGAAGTTCTTCTTAATCTCCAAGACGACCTAGCACTCTCCAGGAGGCTCTTCCTAATCTCCAAGACCACCTAGCACTCTCCAGGAAGTTCTTCCTAATCTCCAAGACCACCTAGCGCTCTCCAGGAAGTTCTTCCTAATCTCCAAGACCACCTAGCGCTCTCCAGGAAGTTCTTCCTAATCTCCAAGACCGCCTAGCGCTCTCCAATAAGTTCTTCCTAATCTCCAAGACCACCTAGCACTCTCCAGGAAGTTCTTCCTAATCTCCAAGGCCACCTAGCACTCTCCAGGAAGTTCTTCCTAATCTCCAAGACCACCTAGCACTCTCCAGGAAGTTCTTCCTAATCTCCAAGACCACCTAGCACTCTCCAGGAAGTTCCTCCTAATCTCCAAGAAGGTTTTCCTGATCTCCAAGACCACCTAGCACCACTCTCCAGGAAGTTCTTCCCAATCTCCAAGACCACCTAGCACTCTCCAGGAAGTTCTTCCTAATCTCCAAGGCCACCTAGCACTCTCCAGGAAGTTCTTCCCAATCTCCAAGACCACCTAGCACTCCCCAGGAAGTTCTTCCTAATCTCCAAGACCACCTAGCACTCCCCAGGAAGTTCTTCCTAATCTCCAAGACCACCTAGCACTCTCCAGGAAGTTCTTCCTAATCTCCAAGACCACCTAGCACTCTTCCTAATCTCCAAGACCACCTAGCACTCTCCAGGAAGGTTTTCCTGATCTTTCAGTCTTCTCTTTTTCCCTGACATTTGAATCCTTTGTTTCCTTCTTGTGCCCTGGTCTCTGGAACATCAGAAAGTCAGTCCCCCCCTCTGCCTTAATGGGACACCCCTTGAAATTTTGAGACATGGTTCTCATGTTCCATCTTAACCGTCTCTTCTCCCAGCTAAACATCCCCCAGGAAGAAAGGAGGAAGGAAAAAGAGAAGGGGGGAAGAGAAGAAGAGAAGGGTGGAAGGGGAGAGAGGGAGGGAGGAAAGAGAGAAGGAAGGAAAGACAAAAGGGAAGGAAGGAAGGAGAAAGGAGAGAGGGAAGGAGGGAGGGAGGGAGGAAAGACAAAAGGGAAGGAAGGAGAAATAGAGAAAAGGAAGGAGGGAGGAAAGAAAGAAGGAAGGATGAAAGAGAAGGGGAAGGGAAGGGGGAAGGGAGAAAGAAGGAGGTAAGGAAGGGAGAGAGGGAGGGAAGGAGGAAGGAAAGAGAGAAGGAAGGAAAGACAAAAGGGAAGGAAGGAAGGAAAAAGAGGAAGAGATGGGAGGAAAGGAAGGACAGAAGAGTGGAAGGGAAGGGAAGGGAAGGAAGGAAGGAAGGAAGGAGGGAGGGAGGGAGGGAGGGAGGGAGGGAGGGAGGGGAGGAAGGAAGGAAGGAAGGAAGAGGAAGGAAAGAGGGAGAAAAGAAGGAGGAAAGGAAAGAGAGAAGAAGAAAGAAAAAAGGGAAGGAGGAAAGGGAGAGAGGGGAGGAGGGAGGAAAGAGGGAGAAAGGGAAAGGAAGGAAGGAGGAAGGAAGGAAGGAAGGAAGGAAGGAAGGAAGGAAGGAAGGAAGGAAGGAGAAAGAGACAGAAAGGAAGAAAAGGAGGGAAGGAGAAGAGGGAGAAAGGAGAAGGAGGAAGGAAAGAGAATGAAGGAAAGACAAAAGGGAAGGGAGAAAAAGAGGAAGAGGGAGGAAAGGGGAGGAAGAATGGAAGGAAGGACGAAAGGGTAAGGGAAGGAAGGAGGGAAGGAAGGAAGGAAGGAAGGAAGGAAGGAAGGAAGGAAGGAAGGAAGGGTAAAGGAAGGATGGAAGAGTGTAAGGAAAGGAAAGTAGGAGGGAAGGAGAAAGAGGGAGATATGGATGGAAAGAGAAAGGAAAGCGAATCAAGGAAAGACAAAAGGGAAGAAAGGAAAAAGAGGGAAGGGGAGGAAAGGGGGAAGGAAGGACGAAAGGGCGTAAGGGAAGGAAGGAAGAAAGGGGAAAGGAAGGACGGAAGAGTGTAAGGAAAGGAGAGAAGGAGAGAAGGAGAAAGAGGGAGATAAGAATGGAAGGAGGAAGGAAAGAGAATGAAAGAAAGACAAAAGGGAATGAAGGAAGGAAAAAGAGGAGAGAGGGGGGAGGAAAGGGAAGGATGGACAGAAAGTGTAAGAAAAGGTAGGGAAGGAGAAGAGGGAGAAAGAGAAGGAGAAGGAAAGAGAGAAGGAAGGAAAGACAAAATAAAGGAAGGAAGGAAAAAGGGAGAGAAGAAAGGGGGAAGGAAGGAAGAACGAAAGAGTGTAAGGGAAGGAAGGAGGGAGAGAGGGAGGGAGGGAGGGATAGGAGAAAGAAGGATAAAAGGTCGGTGTACAAATCTGTTCTGCTCGGAGAGTAAGAGATCCCTACATTCCCTAAGTCACTGCTTCTTAAATGGTGGGCCTCGGCCCCAAATGGGGTCCCCTTAGCTCAATGTTGGGGGTCACACAAAACATTGGCAGCAGTAAAATGTTTCTGAGCACCACCCATTTACACAAATTTGTCAGCAGCAACATGCAGTGTTTACCATGGTCTCTGTAGAAAAGGATTCAGCTCTACTCCACAAAAAGGAAAATCAGCCTGGTTAGCAAATGCAAATTAGAGAGATGAATGGCCAAAACTAACAAAATGAAGTTCAACGGGGACAAATGCAAGAGACTCCACTTAGGCAGGAAAAACGAAATGCAAAGAGACAGAATGGGGGACGATGAGGCCTGGCTCGAGAGCAGGACGTGTGAAAAAGATATTGGAGTCCTCGTGGATAAGAAGTTAAACATGAGCCAGGAATGTCATGTGGCGGCAAAAAAAGCCAATGGGATTTTGGCCTGCACCAATAGGAGCATAGTGTCTAGATCTAGGGAAGTCATGCTACCCATGCTCTATTCTGCCTTGGTTAGACCACACCTGGAATATTGTGTCCAATTCTGGGCACCACAATTCAAGAGAGATATTGACAAGCTGGAATGTGTCCAGAGGAGGGCGACTAAAATGATCAAGGGTCTGGAGAACAAGCCCTATGAGGAGCGGCTTAAGGAGCTGGGCATGTTTAGCCTGAAGAAGATAAGGCTGAGAGGAGATATGATAGCCATGTATAAATATGTGAGAGGAAGCCACAGGGAGGAGGGAGCAAGCTTGTTTTCTGCTTCCCTGGAGACTAGGACGGAACAAGAAGAAGAAGAAGAAAGAGGAAGAAGAAGAGGAAAGGAGAAGAGGAAGAAGTAGAAGAGGAGGAAGGCGGAGGAAGAAGAAGAGAGGAGGAGAGAAGGAGGAGAAGGGGAGGAAGAAGAAGAGGAAGAAGGAGGAGGAGGAAGAGAGGAGAGAAGAAGGAGAGGAAGAGGAGGAGGAAAAGAGAGAAGGAGAAGAGGAAGAGGAGGAGAGGAAGGAAGGAGGGGAAGAAGAGGAGGAGGAAGAGGAGGAGAGGAGGAGAGGAGGAGGAGGAGGAGGAAGAGGAGGAGGGAGAGGAAGAAGAGGAGGAGGAGGAAAAGAGGAGAGAGGAAGAAGAGGAGGAGGAGAGGAGGAA